TCTAAGCTGGTATCTTCCTGTTATCTGTGCTGGGACAACGCCCACCCATCATCCCCGAACCCTTTTCAATAGTTACGACTTTTTGGAGTGCCGTGTCTCTATAAGAGAAGACAGGGAGTGGTCAGAATTAAGCATCATTGAATGGATATGAAGGCGCCCATAGCTCCATAGGAGCAGGTATTAGTGTCATCTGCCCCACTAGCAGTATAGACATTCTCATCAAGGTTTAAATATCTCATAATTGCCGCCTCCCTTAAGTGTTTTCTGGACTGGTCTCCCACCATTTCCTCTCTGGGAACTCAGCGTTACTTGACATTCACCTCCACATCTTGCAACCTGGGTCCAGGAACAATGAACCAAAAATAACAAGTAAAGGAAACATGCATTCCTTGTTTTCTTTTCCCCCCATCCAAGCTCTTATTCACGTATAGCATTAACCAATGCCAAGCAAACAAAACCTCCAGCTGGGGAGGAAGGAACCACAGAGAAACCATTTGGTATAAGAGTGAATAAGAGTGAACTAGATGGAAAGAATGTCAGATTCTTGATCTGAATGTGGAAAAGAGCAAAGATAATAATTTCAAAGGTACTCTGCCTTTCGGCTGGGTAATCAGCACATTTCACCCCAATTTTGTCTGAACATAGCCTTTTAAGTCCACTAAGTCTCTTCTTCTATTTTATTGAGAAAATCAAGGCCATCCGATAAAAGCAGACCAAATTTCCCTCTTCTTTTATCAGCATTATATGGTAGGTTAGGGACAAGTTCTCTGGGCACAGGCGGACTGAAGCTTTCTCTGACACTTACTAGCTATTGGGCAAGTTCTTTGATCTTTCCATGCTTGCAGAAAGTTTCCTCATTATCAAAAAGGTAAAAATAATGCTGTTTTTCAGGATTGTTCTGAAGTTTTATTTAGATCGTGTATCAAACGCTCTGGGTCTTTCTTTTAGTATGAGATTAAAATGATACATAAAACTCCGGATTCTTGGTCTGTATTAAATTATATGGGCCAAATTATGTGTTTAGTAGATGGTTATTATTATAATTTCTTTGTTTTCTTTGCTAGAAATATGGAAAAGAATTTAAAAAATTACACTTGATAGAAGTGCTTTGTCACCATACTCCCTGTCCAAAACAATTGTAATATAATTAGATCTGACAAGAGATTAGCCCACCTCCACCCAACTGAAGTTATCAAGAAGATGATTTGGAATATGGATTTTTATGCACCCTCCCTGACAATGAATGCCACACTAAGTGTATATTAAAATATTTGTTATAATTTTAGCAAGACACTTAAAAATGAAGCAATCAGTAATGGTATGGTTTTTAGTAAGATAAACATTGAAAATCAATTTTAAATCTTTTAAATATAGGTTATCTTTATCTTGTCCTTTTTAATGCCTGCTTTTAAATTTTACACTATGCAACGGGTTACTAGTACAAGTATGGATGTATATAATTTACAAATAAATAGGTATGCATATATTAGCAGGACATGCTCAAACAGTTTTCACTGACGGGGTGCGCTATCAAAGGTTTGGAGAAGATGATCTACACTGACCTCAACCAAGTGTTTGCCTCACTCTTTGGGTTATGTTACACCTCTGCATAAAGATCTATCTTTCATAGTTCTCCATTTCCAAATGAATATGGTCTGAGCTCTTTAAATACATGCAAGGCCTTTCCCGACTTGTCCCTCTTGTATCTTTCCAGGTCGTGGCGGGAAACAGATCAACACATAGGTACGCTGAAGAAAGATTAATAGAGAGACCACCTACAAATATGTGGGTAGAGAAACCACAAGGGTCGTGACATGGAAAGATAAGAGGAGGTGGCACTCCCCTTAAAGTGATGAAGGGAAGAGGCATTTACCCTTTCCTAGAAGCAGAGAGACTGTGTGAGGAGATCCCTTGGAGAGACCATCAGGGGAAAGATGCAGCCGGCTGGAGGCACCAACACCTTTCTCTCCCTTAGCTGTTCCCTTTTGGCTGAATCCAACCCAAAAGGTAGCTATTGATGTGGTTCATACAAGTCAGCCTTCCGTGACACAGAATTGGATGAAGAAGGACGGCGATTGGACCTGGAGAAACAAATGGCAGATATCCAGACCAACCTCTTTCCAAATTTTTCATCCATTCATTCATTGATGTTTTCCTTTCTTCATTCAACAAATTTCCATCACATGTAGTGTCAGAGACTGATCCGGGCACTAGGGATACAACAGGAACAAGACAGTCAGTATCCCTACTCCCAGGTCTCACACTACATTCCTGAGTGGCAGGCAGGCAATGACTGGTCACAATGCATCCCATGCAACATGTGCTGTGATAGGGAATACTAGGGCACTTGCTTCAGGGAAAATGGCCCTGGGGCTGGCCTCCCAGAGGAGGTAAGACCTGAAAGAGTGAGAAAGGGTCAGCCATGCAAACAGGTAGGAGAGAATGTTCCAGAGAAAATAAGCAGTCAGTGCAGCAGCTCTGAAGTAGAATCATGCTTACTTATGAGGATCCAAAGACAAAAAGGAGCCCATGTGGCTGGTGGTTGTGAGGCAAGACATGGAAGGTGGGCAGGGACTGTCTCACGCCAGGCTCTGCCAGCTAAGCTAAGGAACTTGGCCCATGATGTGTCACTGAAACAGGGCAGCACCATACTCCTTCTGAATTGCTCACGCTGTCCCAGTGTTGCAAACTTGTGTGCCTCCGTGCCTTTGCACATGCAGTTTCCCCACCTTAAAACCTACTCTCTCTCCTGTTTCCAACAGTTAGTCATCCTTCGACCAGTTTATATGTCATTTCCTGTCTAAAGCCTCCCTGGGTCCCCTTAGGCTGTCTTAGTCACTTCCCCTTCTGTGCTTCTTTAGCACTTTGTACCTCTCTCACTGCTTTGTCACTCTTTGTTTACTGCTCTTATCCCTCTCAAGACAGTGAACCCTTTGAGGGCAAGGACTACTCTACTGTTTTTTGCATCCTGGCCTCTCGCCCTCCCACCTGAAGCCCTTCCAGAGTTGACACCAGGTCTTAATCATGTTTATGTCCTCACCCTACCCTTCCTCCACCCCTGGTTCACTTGGCCTGGGGCGTGCCCCATCAGTAACACTCGGGCATGCAACAAAGGGAACAAAGTCACAGAAAGCAGACCTTCTCCCAACTCAGCTTTAAATAACAAGAAAAGCCTGCCCAGAAGAGCCTATGGGTGATTAGGTGATTCCTTAGAGCTTCCTGAACATGCATAGTAAGAAGACAGCTGGAATCCATTTTGACATTTAGAAGGGGTTTTTGTTTGTTTGTGTATTTGTTTAATAGAGCACAGACGTTTAATAAATTACTTAAACATTTATAACAAGTCATAGTTTAAAGTAAGTTGGTGAAGTTGCATGAATAGGTTTGCCACACATTCTGCAAGCTTGCCTTTCCCAAGAAAGCAAGGACGGTGTCTTTTTTAAAAGTTGCCTTTATGTCCACACTACCCAGCACATGGTAAAAGCTCATTGAGTGAGTATGTGAAAGAACAAGAATTAGATATCAGATCTGCTCTGTCTAAACTATTTCCATATCAGTGGTGACTTCAGCTCATGGTTAGTTGTGTGTATTGGTTACCCATGGCCACATAAAAAATTATCTCAAAATACAGCTGCTTCAAACAACAAATATTTATTATTTCACAGTTTTAAACAATTAGAAGTTTGATGTTTACCTACAGTTTAGAGGGTGCCTTTAATTCATATGAGGTTCATAATATAATATTTATTAAGTGCTTACTACATGCCACACTATCCTAATGTCTGTCCATATCCACTCATTTAATCTTCAGATTATTTATTCCTCTTAACTTATTCTGTGATGCAAAAATCTGGGCACAGCGAGGTTAACTAACTCAACAAAAGTCACACAGCCGGTAATAGGCAGGCCTGAGATTCAGACTCAGCTAGTCCTGCTCCTGTGCAAACTCTTCATCTCTAACAGCCCGCCTTCAAAAAAAGGAAGATAGCAATAATTTACTCTTTAAGGATGAAGCTAATACCATGAAGGCTCCTCCCTCTTTTCATTATCGTACATAGGTCACATCATCGCTCCAAGAAAGATGATAGACTTGTATAGATCCATTGTCCCATATGTGCCTGATGGCTGCCCGTATTTGATGGTGACCTCAGTAGCCATGGGTCTGAACTTAGCAAATTAGCTCAAAGGAACTCCCCTCCAGAGCTCTGACAGTATTAGAATGATTGGATCAAATTGTATCTTATTCAGTGTAAAAGATAAAGGATGCCATCATTAATCTAAAGATTACAGCCAGTACCACTGACTATGCCTAAGCTCCCAGCCTAAAACACTGCCCACTCTCTCGCTAAAAAAATGACCAACAGGGCCGGCAAACAATGCTTTTAGGGTGCAAATCTCTTGTAGATGAGGTAAAGACCCCAGCTCTTGGAGGGTCTTTATCGTCTGCCCTTCTCCATCAAGAAAATAGGAAAATCTCCCTCTCTCACATAGATATTTTGCACTAAAGGACACACAGTGCATATTTTTTCAGTCAAATCAAACCAAAGAGTGGAATGAGCAATGGGTCTTGAGCAAGGAGGACTGAGTTCACGCCTCAAACTAGCTGATTCGTCTGATTCATCAGAGACCCAGCTCTTCACCGCCCTGGGTGTCAACTTCCTCATTATACCAAGGGAAAAAAAATTGGATGAGAAATTATCTATGATCACATCTAGCTCTAAAAATTGTTGATTCTTAGACGTACAAGTCCATATAAAATGAACACTTCTTTTACCCAGGTGATAGATACTCTTACACTTTGTAACAGTCTATTAACTGCATGTGATGACAAATCTCACAAAACAGGTCGTGAAAATTTATCATTCATCAGAGGCCAAACACAATGTCAGTTCTGAGAAAGAGAGACGGCATTCAGTCAACTGGAGACCGGCAGAGAATTTCTCATTACTCTCTTCTGTCACATGGCGGGGGAACAACAAAAGATGACCAGACAGATTCCCACTTCCCTCCCTGCCTGCCACCCAGCTTTGGTCATGGACTGAGAGCCTCCTTCACAGGGCATGCTACCTACTGTGCTTTCATGGGCTTGTGGAGTATGGATGGGTATGTGGAGTAAGATTTCTTTAAGCTGTCATGAGAATTGTCATGGGAAGAAGTCTATTGATTAACACGGGAAGAAGATAATGAATGGAACCCCGTTGACATGAGAAGTAAGAAGGGCTAGAGGGGGCTCAGGAAGTGGGAGGATTGCTCTTGACACTCCAAGTATGACATAGTGAAAACATCACTATACAGGGTCCTGGTCCCCCGGGGAACGAATTGTGGGATTCTGGGTAGGCCATCTTATCCCCATTTATAAGTTGTGCAAGTGGCATTAGGTTAGTGGTTTTCAAACTAAGTCCTTAGACCAGAGGTCTCTCATGGAAAAATCAGGTGGGTGAGAAGGACACAGACCCAGGTGGGTCATGCTCTTGACGTTCCACTCCATCTCCTACACGATCATCTTCGCTTTTACCTGTTTTGTATTGGAGCTGAACAAAAGAGTTTATTTTCTCTAACTTGTGCTATTATAAAGAATCAAGGGTTTGAAGCCACCTAAACTGGATGACTTCACACATCTCCAACTCTTTCTATGAGTCCCCATGAAAATTAACAAACAAGCATACACTTGCTATCTGAATTCATTTTCACTCCCACAGCAAACACCTCAGAGTGAATGAAAAGTAATTCTTTTGAATTTGGCCTCTTTTTCCTCTCGCCCAACAGTGAATTCTGGAACTCCTTGACAAAATATCTAAATTATAAAAATCACCGGTGTCTTCTCCTCACTGGAAAATAAGTCTGTTCATGGTTTTTGACCCTCAAACTTAAGTGACTTTCTCTATCAACTTCCTCAAATCATTATTCCCCTTCTGCTTCACCATGATAATAATCATTATCATTTTTATTCGTGAAGTCTTGGCAGAGTCCTTCGATAATCATCTCTAATATCATACGTCAGCCTTCCTGTCTCCACAACCTGAGCAGAGGTTGGCAGCAGCTGTCGCAGTGTTCCACCGAAATGCTGCCACTTTCTGATGATCCAGATGAGTCTTCAGTTTCCTTGGCAACCCAAAAGACTTTACACGGTCACCTCAATCTTCTTTGGGGTAAGAAAGCAAAAGACCTCCATTTGCTGGGAGAGGTTCAGAGGTGGTAGGTGGGATGATAGAGCCAAATGAAATTGAAATGAGTGAACAGAAAGCAATACAGTCTTTATACATAGAATAACACGGGAGAAATTGAGAATGATCTGCCACATCACCAGGTGTGGCCATATGATTTGACTCCATAGCAGGTTTCCCAGCCAGACCTGTGGAATTTGCCCAGTCTTCATCAGCCTGTTTTTCTATCCCTAATAGATCCCAGAGCAAAAGTGCATTGACGTCCCAGAAGGCATTTTAGTTGTTATCAACCAGCTTTGATTCAAATATCATGGTGGAAGGAAAGGACAGCAACAACACTGTATTCCAGCTCTTAGAATCCGTTCCAAGTTTTAATCACATAGACAGTTCCTTTCGAAGTTTAGTGCTCATTCCATTTTGCAGTATTTGAAATGATATATCCAGGGCCACATGTTGGGGCATTTATCCAATTCGTTTTCTATACCTGAAAAACGCAGAGTGTCAGCAAATACTAGGCCTACCCTGCTGCCGCAGCTACTCCTGCCAATCAAGGTGCGTGCTGAAAATCGATGACAGCGCTCTTTTCACTCATTCCAGATGCAACCTTAAAAGAGTTCTCTGAGCATCCATTAAAAATTAATCAGAGTTGACAGTTAAGATGAAACTTATTCCTCGCCATGGGCATACCCTTGGTATTCATGGATTTAACATTTATATTTCCAGCTATTCAGAAGCACCCCTCAAGGTCATAATAGCTATGTAACTTGGCTTAGTCACGTAGTTGAATCACTTATGATGGAAAGATCCCTCAGCTGATGAGTGAGCCAAACCCCTCCCAGCATCTGTATCTCAACGCAACTTTTGATCTTTCTTCCTCCTGCTTTCAAAAAAAAGCATTTTTTTTTGAGAAAAAATATGGCCTATGGTAGCATTTGTTATTTTGGAGATTTCATAAATGCTCCTGTTATTTAAAAATCCACTTTTATAACTACTGCTATTAATAGCCATTCGTGCCACCTCCCCAATTCTAAACTCATTCATCCTCCACTGTTATTATCACAATCAATGACATGAATATGCAAACAGTTGTTCAGAACAGAAGCCTGGAAGTCACGTTTGAATTACCCTCTTAACTCTCCACTCCGTGAGAACAACCTATGGATTCTATCTCCAAATACATCATGATCTGTCCACTAATCTTCCACTTCCACTGCCGCCATCTTGGTCGAGGTCATTGTCATCTCTTTGCTAGAATGCTCGTCCTGATTGATCTCTTCTGCCTCCTCCCACTCCGCTGCCGATTCTGTAGCCACAGAAATCATTTTTAAAAATTAATCTGATCATGCCATAACACCCCCCCTCGCCCACCACTCCCTCACCACCAAACACATTCACATGCACTGGGAATCTTTGAGTGTGTGTATGCTCCATGTGTTGCTATGTGTTGATCTGCAACAAGATAAGGAATGTACATCAGAACATAAATATAAAGCAGCACACTCCTTTTTTCATTGAGCAAGTCTTGTTACACGTGTGTGTGTGTGTGTGTGTGTGTGTTTAAGCTCAGTAAAAAGTGTTCTAGGTGACAGAGTTGATTTACAACTGCACAAGCTCTTTTTCTTATCACAGACAGGTAGCAGTTTGCAGACCAGCAGCCCATGTTCAGACCACAAGCTGAGTAGAACGGGCTTCCCAACTCCAAATAATGAGGCTTCTCCCTGTCTCTCAAACTTGAATTTGAGCCCCTCTTCCTTTGATTCCTCTGGTCCAGCCACGAGGCACTCCTTTTGGGTTCTAGACATAATCATGTTGTCTTAGAGACATAACCCCTTAACCACCACCTGTCCTAGAGACTTTGAACTTGCTTCCCTCAGCTGGGAATGTCTTTTCCCTGACTTTTATTTAAATGATACTCCCTCAGGCCCTCCTTCCCTGACCACTTATGCAGAGCTTCCTCTTTATTCCCCATCACCATTTGGTCTTCAGTGTGACACCATTTTTTTTCCATCTGCAAGTCCATATTTATATGTGTGTTGAGCTGCTGATTGTTTGTGTCCCTTCCTAGACTGAAGGCTCCATGAAGGCCGAACCCCCACTAGTTTCTCTGGTTTCACTGGTCAAGAGAACTACTGCTTTGGGCATGGGCGTATCCCTCCAGTGTGTTATGGTAGACGGAAGCTTCAAGAATACATGGGCAGGCATGCTGACACTCCAAGATGTTAATTTATTTCTTCACGTCTTCCCAGGATCATTTGCAAAATCTGAGATAAGACCTAGATTCTTATACCCAGGTTGCCCAATCTCAAGCCATGTTGTCTCTCACTTTATAACTGCAACAAGTCTCAGCCAGTTTAAGGTTAGGCAACTTGTAAAGGAGAAACAGAATTACTTCATGTGAGTAAACAATTCATTATCCTCACTTAGGATTTTCTCATCCTGAATCGTTGCAATGTTTTCATGGGCATTTACATCACTGTCATTCTCCTTAGAGACCCCATCATATAATAGCTAACATTTATAAAGCAACCAAAAATTTAGATGCCAAAAACTGAAGCCTCCTCGGGGAACAAGACCACTCAGCCCCACCTTCATGGAGCTTCTGGTTCAGTGAGAAACACAGACAGTAATCAAGTAATCAACATACAGAGTGGTGGGTGGAGAGAACAGTGCTATGGGAGCACATTGCAGGATGCTGGCAGTTCCTAGGAGTCAGGGAGGTTTGGCACCTGAGCATGGATAACAGGCACATAATGAGGGCAGAGGAGTGATTCCGGCAGCAGAGGGCTAGAAAAGGCCAGGGAAAAAGAGCAGGCTTGGTAAGTTCAAGTCCAGTGGGGCTGGACTGCAAACTAATGGGAAGGGGAAGACAGGAAGGAGGCTGGTGGGGAACCAGGAGCCACATCTCACATGGCATAGCAAGGAACTTGGACTTTCTCCCTTTATGTCAGGGCATGACATGCAACACCTCCTGTCTCCAAACCACTTATCTGTAAATGATGTACAGGGATATCCGCCATGAAAACACTTGCTAAGTACATGTTAGGGACTATTAGAGGTCCATGAAAGAATATGAAGCAATGAAAGAAAAAAAAAACTGAGACAATGTTAACATCAGAGGAAGAAAAATTGTAGAAGAAAGGACCCAGAATCCATACACCATGTGGCTCAGCTATGAAGAATACTTATGTGTATGTGTAGCACTGAAAAGGATTTTACCAAATATGTGATACAACTGTATTTGAAAGATTTCTAGGCAGTCAATAGATAATATTTAAAATTGGAAAATCAAGAAATATCTGTAAAAATAGATACTATTTATTAATCGTTACTTAGAAATAAAGTAAATACCAGAATAAAGAGTTGAAAGACTTGTAAGCAGTTACTTCCGAGGTAAGGCACTAGAAAAGGGAAATGAGGTACACTAAGGTAGAGCTGGGCACTGTTCTTATTTTATTATTATCCTTGATGTGTATTATTTTGTTATTTCTATGATTATAAGCTATGTATATGTGTGGCTTTTTGACAGAAGTATAAATTAAGCACACACACACACACACCCAGCTCTAGCGAATACTAAAGAGAAAAGAATGGAGGGAGGCAGTCATGACGCCCCCTACTGGCCTTCTCGCAGATGGCTCTACCGATGAGTCCCAACTTGTCCAAACTTGCCTGGGTCCTTAAACCAATCATGTCAGCAGCAGCAACAGAGCAGCCTATGCCCCTTTTGTTGGGCATGTTGTGTGTCGGGCTGCCGGGCAACTTTTGGATTTGTAGTGCTAGGGACAGCCATAGTTACCTGCTTAGACTCCCACTTGGCTCCGTCTAATGAGATCTTGAGCACAGACCAGGGCCCCCCAGTGAAGCAAATGCTTTGGGAGTTCCAGAGTTCTCAGGGTCTTCAGAGGAAGCCAGGACATGAGGGAAGCTTGAGCCCCACGTACAGGGAAGCAAGATCCAGAGATGGAGCACCTGCTCTCTTTGATTGGGCTGACTCATTCACTTACGGGAAGTCAACGGATCCGCAAGATGCTGAAGTGTTACATCTCATTACTTCATACCCCAGTTGCTGGAGATGCGCGATGCTTAACAGGGAGAAAACGCAAACTATCTTTTACTACCTATGAAGGAAAACACAGTGAGAGGAAGACCACAACTGAAACAATCCATTGCAGAGGGGAGGCTGTTCTGAAGTATTTTCAAGGACTTTAGAAGGACCCCTTTTACTGGCACATTAGTTAAAAACCTTTCTTATTTATTAAAGCAATTCCCCTAGTCTTCTCTACCAGGCGAAATTTTATCAGGCTACTTTCGGTGACTAGGTATACTTGAAAGATTAAAAAAAAAAAGTATTAAAATGTTTTGTAGATGAGAATTTTTACTTCTTCTGAGTAAGTTTGACATGTAGCGTTATAAGTTAAGTGTTATATATCCTAATGCAATTTCTCCACCCTTAAAGTCAATGAGGATATTTATCTCTTCTGAGTGTAGGGCGTTTTTTTGCTAAAAAATGAATATTTTCCCAAAACAAATGCCAACTATTTCCTCATTATGTCTTAAAAAGATAACTTCCACGTAAGTGAATGTTCGTGTCAAATGTTACTAAGTATAAATAGCATAATAACTAAAAATAGTTCAAATATTCCAGCTACATCTTGTCAACAATCTTGCTCTAGCCAAGTTCCCCATTAATTGCACAATCTATATTTTGGAAAAGACAGAACCTAATTGTTTCCAAATAAAATTTCAAGCCTGCATGGGGTTTCCTTCCTCTGGTTGGTTTTGTTAAGTGAATTAATCTTTAAAAAGGAGAATGCAGAAAGGAGGACTCCTCCAAAAGCTCACTTTGTATGTGCATTTTATCAAGGGCTTTAGTTATAAAGTTGCATGGGTAATTTTTGTTGCAATCACCTGTGGAGAGATTTCCATTTTTTAGGGCATTACTTTCATCTTTTGCCTTTTTGTCCATACAAGATGTATGGACAAAGAGCAAACAGCAAATGTCCACTTGAAGAAAAGGTATTTAATGCTACAAGGGCCTGAAAACAAAGACAAAAAAAATTTTCTAATTCAGTTAGAGCAATATTCTATTAAAAAAAATTATCAGCTCATTCAATCACTCTTCTAAAGTAAGAAATACAAGTTAGTCATTTAGGACACCAAGTAAACTTTTTCTGAGTGGGTGAATGTGACTCAATAGGTTTTTCTAGTACCCTTTCAAATTCTTAAAATTCAAAGCATAGTATGTGGATACATGGGGAATATGAAGAAGTATAAGACACAGTTCTTACTCCCAGTCTGATTACATTGGGAGAAATCATCTTATTGTGGGCATTTTGTCTGAACTGAACCAGAATTCTCCATTAACAAGTCACTTACAGTTCAGAGGAATTTCAACACCATTAATGCGAACAATTAAAGGCATCAAAGTGGCAGAGAGAGAAGAGTAGTAATGGGAACAGATCAGCACTAGATCCTGGTGTTTTACCAGTGAAAGGTCCTCACAATGGGATCCTTCAAAGATGCATCCTACCCAGTGATTTCCATAATTAAGTGTACTATGCTTTATATAAGTTCTTATTTAATCCTCACAACACTTTGAGGGAGATCCTCTAGATCGTCTCCTTTTACAGGTAAAGAAAGCAACACATAAAAGACAGCAATAATTTGCCCGAGCTCATGTAGTTTATTGAGTGGCAAAGTCAGGAATTAAATCAAGGCAGTTTGATTCCAGTACATGTGCTTTTAACAAACATGTATAGAGTGTTTACAGCATTTTGTTTTAATGTGATTATCACATTTAAATGTAATTATCACAGAAACACATATTTGCATGGAAAAAAAGGTGTGTGTGCATATGTATAGATATTAATGTCATTACAGAAGTCTTCTCTGGATGGTAAGACTGAATGATTTTTTTTCTTCTTATTATGTGAATTTATAATCTGTAATTACAATGGTTGTGTACTGGTCAGGTAATAAAATAAATATGAAATGTTATTTCAAAAATAAAATTAAATGGTAACAAGTTGATTTATTTAGTGACTAAATGAAGACAAGGGAGGGGATGCTTGGGTGGCTCAGTGGATTAAGCTTTGGACTCTTGGTTTCAGCTCAGGTTATGATCTCAAGGTTGTGAGTTCGAGCCCTGCATCAGGCTCCATGCTGGGCGTGGAGTCTGCTTAAGATTCTCCCTCTCCCTCTGCCTTCCCACTCACACACACACACACACACACACACACACACACACACACACATACAATCTCTCTCTCTCTCTCTCTCTCTCTCTCTCTAAAAAATATACATAAAACATTTTAAAAAGACTAACTTAAAAAAATAAATACATGAAGACAAAGGATTCTATTCTCCTCCTCCTATTACTACTACTACTACTACTAATAGCTGTTTAATAATAAAATTTAAAAATATAAAAATAGCTGTTTGGGGGCATTTTTCAGGAAGAACACTGCCGAGTCCTGTACCTGCATTATCTCATTTAATCCACACAATTTTTTTACAGCATAGATGTTATTTATCATCCTCCCTTTATAAATGGTAAAAGTGAGACACAGTAAGTTTGTCCTAGGTCCTATAACTGTAAAGTGTTTACACCACTATCATCTGAAGCCAGTCTCCAGAGCTTTCCTAAGCACCATGGTGGCAGTCTCTCCTGTGACACAGGAGTGCTGGCTGGGAAGGGAAGGCACTTCCAAGCATGGCAACTCTGGATTCAGAGACTGAGACATGTAGAAGAACTGGTGCCAGTCTCAATTCAAAGTTAGGCAGTTGAAGTCTTTCTATCAATTCATGTCTCAAGTAGAAAAAATGTAAAGCCATTTTAAAGGCCTCCTGATGCAGGAAGAGGATTCTCACTAATCTTTAGTATTTTGTAAACATAAAACACTTAGCCAAAATATTTCTCATTATGTTATGATAAATTTTGTTTAATTTTCATAAATAAAATACAGAGCCCAAGGTTTTAAAAAATATTTCCATAACTTAAGTTTTTCTAAATCCCAATTATGAATGTTCACATTTCATTCCAAAACAGAATTTAATGTATGTTTAGGATGTTGTATGTAAGATGCTGTATTTGAAGCATTATCTAAATGGCCTAAGCATCCAATAAGAGAATGTAAGATTCTAAATAACCAAAGGGATGAGTTTAAGAGGAGCAAATTTTTTATTATTATCCCAGGAGAGGTAATTATGGAAGTTTAGGTGTATAACTGCATACAGATTTTTAAATAAATTGTCATGAGACATTAATTAATCTGGAAATTTAAGAAATTACTCATGAGACCTGTTCATGTAACTTTTGACAATAGGTACAAAAGTTTGGATTTTTTCCATCAACCTGATGTTAACAGAGTCTCAGATTCTCTACAGATAATATGCTTCTAGCATGTTGTTGGAGAGGTTCCTTAGGTTTTAGAGGCAATAACATATATGGTTATGGAGTGATTATTAACACATTTTGTTATTGTGTTTTGCTTGCAGTGATGTTCAACTAAATAAATATCTCCGGAAGCTAATTGTTAAGAAGTGACAAAAATCTCTGCCGTGCTCACCATCTAGTTCTTAAGACAGGATGCAAATGCCGCTTAAGACAATCCTTTCCAAGTGAGTGTTTTGTGAATAATCGAATACATTTCCTCCTAAGAGCAATTTAAAATATTTCAAGGCTTGTTTATTAAGAGAGAATCTCACTTTGTCTTGCAGAGACTTAATTTCATTAAACTCTTCATTTCATGTTTTTACCCCCCAGTGGGTTACTTAGCCCAGTTTCCTTCCCAGTACACAGGGAGAATTGTTCATCTATACTTCTTTAGTATTGGACAACGCCGTGATACATTTCAAGCCCCTAACCATACATGCATGTTAAAGAATTATATACTGCCTGTCACCCCGTAATAGCACTGTCTAGTGGACCCATTAAATTGTTACTGGATCTTCCTCTGGCACAGAATCTATCAAGCTCTTTGCATCCTGCTGGAAGGGTCTGAAAAGCCAAGAGACATTTTCCCCTCTTTTTCCTCTCCCCGCTCTCGTCCTTACATTGAGCTGAGTTCCTAATTCCTTTTGCTTCTTTGGGAGAAAAAGCAAAACCACTGTCACAGGCAAAAACGTTCTTTCTTGCCCTTTCATCTCCAGGCAGATGAATCAATAAAATATGAAGACAAAAGTGCTCCATCTTCTGGCTGAGGATGAATGTTCACCAGCAGATATTCCCAATTCTAAAAGGAAGCACTTCATCTCAGGGACCAGATCCTGGAGAGAATTATTGATGAATCCCTCCAATACCATCAAGAATAAAACAGCCTTCTCCTGGTCTCAGACTTGAAAGAATTTTCTTCCAGTCTTCTCTTTTTTCCTTCATTCACGCCTACCAACCCAAGCCAGCTAACAGTGCAGGCTTAGGCTTGGCATCGCGCAAAGCTGCCGCCTCATTGCCCCTTCATTCCCAGCACAGATCACTTAACTTTTTGAATCCCCAGTCTCCTCGTCTTGTACCTTCTATGTAATTGGGAGGACTAAATAAGATTTGTAAAATACTGAACCCCACATCACACACAGAGAAAGCACTCAATGCATGTGAGTCACTCTGATTATGACAATTCCTGAGACGTTTTTTTCTTTTCCCATCTCCCTTCAATTCAATACAGATGTGTCCATCCTTCCTAGGGTTGAGATGCTAAGTGCAGTTAAATGTAACCTCTGCCTTCAACAAAGTCACAGTCTGCCAGTAGTCACAAAGAAGAACGTAAATAACTTTAATACAAGAGAAGAGATGGTCGATGGCCAAAAGAGCTACCAAGTGTTCCAAGACAGTGCTTCTCAAACTGGGCCGCATGCCTCAATCATGTGGGGATTTTGTTAAAATGCAGATTTTGATTCAGTAAGTCTAGGGTAGGGCCTGAGACTCTGGTTTTCCTTTTTTTTTTTTTTTTTTTTTTTTTTTTGAGACAGAGAGAGCGTCAGAGCGTGAGCAGGGGAAAGGCAGAGGGAGAGGGAGAGAGAGAATCTCACACAGGTTCCATTCTCAACGCAGAGCTGATGCAGGGCTCAATCTCACGACCTTGAGATCGTGGCCTGAGCTAAAATCAAGAGTCGAACACTTAACCAACTGAACTACTCAGGCACCCTGGATTCTGTGTTTCTAATAAGCACACAGGTGATGCTGAGGCTGCTGGTCTGAGGTCTACCCTTTGAGCAACAAAGTTCTGGGATACGTGTAGGATATAAACAGGCTTTGTATTTAACTAGTGTGCATCAGCATACCTGTACTGGTATGCTGATGCCCTCTTGAGTGCTGGGTACGCTCTGACTGGCCATGATCCATGACAAAACTATTGTTAAACCTGTTGCTCAGTATCACCCTGGCTATCAATACTACAGGACTCTGGTGGACAGCATAGATGTCACATTTGGTTTTAAAGGGGCATACATGGTGTTTAAGGACAGCCTTGAAAGATTAGCAAAATTTTACTCATTTCTACTTTCTTGTCTAGTATACTCACTCTACCTTTCCCAAACACCACGGTTACTGTTCATTTGAAATATGAAGTGCCCTCTTATGATTCCCTCTAAAATACCGTTCCTCTGAACCTTTAAGAATAGACAACTTCTGGGCACCTGGGTGGCTCAGATGGTTAAGCGTCTGCCTTCGGCTCAGGTCATGATCCCAGGGTCCTGGGATCGAGTCCCGCATCGGGCTCCCTGCTCGGCGGGAGGCCTGCTTCTCCCTCTGCCTCTCTCTCTCTCTCTCTGTCTCTCATGAGTAAATAAATAAAATCTAAAAAAAAAAAAAAAGAAGAGGAATAGACAACTTCTTTGGAACAATTATGTCCCAGTGATTCCTCCCATGTTCCTAGGGCTTCATTGTTGCGGTCTCTGACTTTGAAATGAAATTAAATAAAAATGCGCAGTGGCATTTTCTATGTTAGAGACAAAGTCAGGTCCTCTCCGCCTCCTGTGTTCCGGTGGCCAGATACCCACTCTCGACTTGGATACCAATTTTTAATTGGGGGCTTTCACATAAAAATCTAGATACTCAGCTTGGAAAATTGGGAAACCCAGCTACCCAGAGCCCAAATTCACACTTGGAAGCAATCAGCTAGGGCAGCACAGCAGGACTGCCTTGGGAGTTGGGGGGTAGGGGTGGGGAGTGGGGGGAGCAGTGCCTCCAAAGTCTCCATAGTCCAGGCAAATCTCATTACCTCTCACGCCAGATGCAGCCTACTCTCTCCTACAACTCAGCCTATGTAGGTATTTGAGTTTATGATTCCATCTTCCGAAAGCCCAGGAGTCATATTGATTTAGAAAAAAATATATGGTGTGTCATTAATGATACAGAACCACCTATACATGGCGATTTTCAGAATACAGAGACAACTAGCTTTTTTCCAGGAAAATAAATCTTCATATAATAATCAGAGCAACTTTAAAGCTTTAGCTTTATTGGTTCGCAGTCTTCATCTTTATCCATCATTTTAATATTTGGTTCTAGTAATTTGTTTCTTTCCTTCCCTCTTGTGGACTTGAAAGGGAATCTGAATAAAAAGGAGAAAAAGGGTAAACCAAGGAATCAATACCCCATTTCATGAGCAAAACATGCCTAAAGGTTATCCTACTTTGTGAATCACTAGAGAATTCGCATAAAGTAAAGAAACCAGAAAAAAGTGTGTGACTTTTCCCAGCCTGGGTTCTCTACTTCTCAGAATTGTATTACCAACTTGGTAAAAACTGTGTAAATCATTTTGGTTTCTTATGCCTCATGAGAGTTCCCAGAATCGAGAGAGGGGGGAAAAAAAAAAGACTAAAGAAAATAATTTTGAGTCATTTTTAAAGCATTTTGGATTGCTAATAATAGATATATATTTAAATTAAGACCCTCTTTACTCACTTGAAATACTTTGAGATCTTTTCCCTTCCGTATTTAAAGGTAGTAAAACTACAGCACTACGTCGATAACAAGAAAACAGAGGTACTAATTAATTTCTTTCAGATACAAAAAAATTATTCAATGTTTTCATATTGCAAAATAGATAACCAATCTCTAGCATGACTGTTGCACAATTTGAAAAACAGGCTTCCAAGGAAGACAGGATCACTTCTCTCAACACGCCTTCCAAATGTACCATGGCCTCACTATTTAACTGAATGGCTGATGGGCTGGAAGAAGCTGGCTTGTTTTAAAATTAGAAAGTAACGTGATACCTGGGCCACTATCCGGCCACATTTAAAATCGATTAGATTCATGAATTTGTTCTACGTGGCATGAGCACAGGAGTTTGGAGTCCACAACCCTCTGAATGTGTGGGACTCTGCTCGGCTCACTGGCAAGGACCACAGCCCTCGCCTTATCTGAAGACCAGAGGTAGTGAAGACTACTTCCCCAGGTTGCTGGGAAGATCAAATCAAGAGATTGGAAGTTATCTGTACTATTGAGAAGGTCAATACAAAAGCAAGACATGATCTGCTGAGTTAAACGCTGAGAATACTGCCTGGTACATGTGGCCTCTTGGTTTAAAAAAAAGAAAAAGTTCTTCAGATCTGGGGTACTACCCTATTATGAATTTCTTGGTAATGAGTTTCACAGAACATTTCCATTGTTGGCTGTCTCTCCATTCACTACTTATCCCACCCCAATACCTCTGGAAACAGCTGAAATACGGAACAGGTTTGGTCTTGCTAGCACCCTTACCAAAAGGTTATCCAAAACAGTTGTTTAATTAATGGAGGATAGCATTTAATTTTAAGTGGTACGTAGGATAAACTAATGCTCTAAATTAAAGGGGTACCATATAGAAGCTGAAATTAAAGTTGTTATTCAAAATCCCAGCCATTGGGGGTCTTTAGCTCACAAACCAGGGAGGGAAGCAGAGACCCTTTCCGAGGTGAGCATCACCAATGATTGCTGGTGCGGTCCCTTTGCTGCAGCGACCCGTCTCTCCCCTTCCCCCACTTTATCCTTCTTAGCACACCTTCTGCTGGACGCCTGCCTCCTCGGCTTTCTCGGACCTCCACCACAGACAGACCTCTAGCCTTAGAAGATTGATTCCTGCCTCCCTTGTCACTTCTTGCTCTCCAGTCAAATGACAAGATGCTATTTCTCCATTTCTTGACGTGACTTAGATCATACGACACCTACAGGAATTGGTGGTATTATGGATAAAGTGTCACTTCCCGTGTACTCCCAATGTCAGGCGCACTGCACATTGAGCAGGCGCCTACTGTATACAAGGCACTGATGAATACAAAGCTAAACACCTTCCTGTCTGTGAGCAGCTTACAATATCTAAGGCATCTGGGTCATTTTCTCATGTATAAAAAGGTATATAATTTTTTAAAGTAGAATTATATTCCGTAGGCGTGCAAAAGGAAGAGTAATTGTCTCCTTGCTGGCCTCTCCACCACTTTCTAGCCCTTCACCTCCTTTATCTTACTTTATTACCTTACCTCCTGTATTTCCCTGACTTGTCACGTATCTACTTTTTTGGTTATTTATCAGTAGCTATTCCCAACTCCCAGAATGTAAATGCCATGCGAGCAGGGACTTTGTCCTTATTCACTGCTGTGCCCCAGCCCTTAGAACACTACCTGGCACAGAGAAGGCCCTCCATAAATATTTGTTGAAAGCAAGTCTTCCAGAAGAAGTGGCCTTTGAGTTGGGCTTTGACCAATAGGAAGGGCCTCGATAAGCGAGAAATGGGGAAAAAGATATTCCAGAAGGAGGCTTCAGCAAGAGCATGGAGGTTTCTAAGTACAATTTAAATGAGGTAATAAAGTGGTTTTAATACAGAGAAATGAAATGCTCTGGGGGAATTTGACTACTTAACTAATTTTAAGAAAGAAAATAATGTTTGCAACAGTATTATATTTTAAACATTTCAATGACATTTATGGCCAATCTAAGTGGTTTTAGAGTAAGCCAGGTCCCAAATGGATAAACTGCAGTGTAAAGATATATCTGTTAATAATGCAAAGAACAGATTGAATCCAGAAAGCAGGGGAGCTAGGGAGGAGAAGGAGAAAGGAAGGAATGGGCAAGGTGGGAGGAAAGAAGAAAGCCAGAGCCCTTGCCACAGAGTGTCCTTTTATTTTATTTCATGAATTTATTTCGAGAAACCCATGTTCCATTCCTGCCTGCCCTGCTTTAATGACCCCATCTGTGGGTGACTACCATCCTCGGTTTTGATTCTTGGTGATCGTACTGCATTAGAGAAAACAGATGGGAGGTTGCGGGGGTAGGCATTTTATAGTTTCTGTAGTTTCTGCTAACTTCTCTAACAAAGACAGGCGGCTTCCACATTATGCAGCGAGTTTCCAT